TTATATTTGATTCTGACCCTTTACCGCCTGAGCAACTCCGGGAGTATAGCCCGTTGTTACTCCTGAGAGTATGGTCTGTTTTTATGTAATTTTGCCGTCGCATTCAGTCCTTCTTCCATTAAGCATGACAGAAAAGTGGAGCATCGCCAAACAGCCACTGAGCAGCTTTCCCGCGCTGTTTGCCCCGAGTATCACTCAGACTGAACAACCGTTCATTGGATTGATTATCTTCGAGACAATCATAACGTCGTTTTGAATTTTTGATTTTGTTTACAAAAATTAATGTTTACAGATATCCATGGACGACTATCGCTTTACGTATAAATTCAGACGTTTCTGTCATAACGACGTACAAACTCACTGTGCGGGCGACGAGCGAAGGGATAGGTTTGGGGTGTTTCTCGATGGCTTGACTTGTTTATCCGCCCCATTACCTGTTTCAGGGCTTATATCGTTGAATGCTTGAGCAAAATCATGGTAGAAGACACCTTATTGGACGAAACTCCACGCATATCGAAAGAGTGCCGCAAACAACTTCGCGCCGAGTACTTCATGATGGAAATGGTATACATGTCATTTCTTGGTTAGTGGTTTTTCTGAGGTTAAAAGCTTTCGATGTTTTTTTTCTTCAAGTATTTTAAACTAAGAAATCTTCTGTCAGAGGTGTCTTGTGACACTGTAGACTCCCAACGATGCCCGATGAATTTCAGTTTTTTTCGGTAGCCCTTATGTCACAAGATCGAACTTTGAAAGAACCTTTACGAAATTACACAGCATATTAAATTTATTATGAACGAAATCTTCAGCGTTTCGGATCATGCTCAATCCGTGGTCAGAGCGCGATACACAAGTTCGTTTATTTTGTTGGCGCTGTGAGCACCAATCGAGCATGGTCCCGAATGTTGAAGAAAATGTACTTGTCAAATTTAATATGCAGCGCTATCCTGTGAATTACTGTTGCAATTTTGAACGTGATTCCCTCGTAAACGATCCAACTTCAATATCGTGCCTGTCTTCAGTATCCTGCTTACAGACAATTGGCATTTTTAAATATTCGCAGTGAAGCGCAGAAAATGCAATAGATTAAATCCATAAATTATATAAGTATAAAATTATTAGGCATTCTACCGGCTGTTAAAGCACCAGTATACAGAAAACAATGCGTAAACATCACCAATATGGGTTT